CGCACGCACGCACGCACGCACGCACGCACGCACGCACGCACGCACGCACGCACGCACGCACGCACGCACGCACGCACGCACGCACGCACGCACGCACGCACGCACGCACGCACGCACGCACGCACGCACGCACGCACGCACGCACCGTCTGCTGCGTCGGCTCGGTGGAAGCGAGACGTCTGTTCTCTTCCATTGGTCGAACGGCAGAGCGCACACGAACGCGTGACATAAGCGCTTCTCAGTTGTGTGAAGCAGTGGAGCCGTAAGCCGCGGTTGGCAAAATCGCATCATTGCAGTTAAGTGATTGCTTAATCATAAAGCTTGTTTGATCAATTTTAAACACTTATATTTCAAACATTATTGCTTGTATGAAAAAATTGTGAAGAACTTTTTTATTTCGTTTTTTGAGAATTTTTATGTTATAGTATACTGATTCGCAAATTACGAGATATTCTGTATACAGTTTGGAAACAATTTTGAAATGTGCTAATTACAGTTACATTAAAGAAAACCTGATAACAGACCAAAACATTTATTGTTTATGTTTTTTTAATAAATGTTTGTTATTGGCATTCTCTTACATCTTCTGCCTCGCCAACTTTATTGTTTTTTTAAATTTGCCTAATCATTCGAGTTTTTATAATTTTTGATTTTACAAGACAAAATGTCTTTATCTTTAGTTTTCTTTATTTTACATGCAATCCTTTGTATAATTTCCAGATGACAATCTTCTTGTCACATTAGCGGATTTTTTTATCGCTGGAATTAATACCACAACAGCAACGCTGGATTTTCTCTTTTTACAAATGGCCAATCATCAGAATGTGCAGCAGAAGTTACACAAAGAGATCGATGCCGTGATCGGTTCCAACAAATTTCTGAATCTAGAAGATAGAATAAAGTAATAATTAACTCATTTTTTAAGCTAAATAATCTTTTTGCAATATACTCTTTTATTGATCTTTGTTTTTGGAGTCTTTTATCTAGCATTCGAGAAACCAATCTTTTATGTTAAATTTTAATATTTTATAGTATGCCTTTTACGGAAGCCATATTAACTGAATGTCAACGTATATGGCTTGTTACACCTGTAATTGGACCACGACGTGTTCTTTGTGATACAACTCTCGATGGATACACAATACCGAAGAATAGCACTATTCTGTTAAACATTTTCTGTAACAACATGAATCCAGAATTTTTTCCTAATCCGATTTTGTTTCAACCAGAAAGATTTGTTAAAGATGGTGTTTATCAACCAGACAAAAACATAATAATATTCGGAAAAGGTGAGTGATGAAAGATTTTATTTGTAGAAAAATAACATGAAAACAATTTTTTGTGTGCAAAATTTGTTGGAAATGATCGCTTGTTTGACAAAACTTGTAATATTTAACCATCGGACGATGGTAGTGACTGGATCCGTTAGACCCATACCGATTTTTATGTTTTATTTCCATTGTAAAAATTATACAACACTTTTGAATTTTGACATATCTTTTTTTTTTGAAATCTTGTGCAATACTACTGTATATTGACTGCAGGAACACTAGTTCAATGCTGTCTGCTTTATCACTGCAAAAGTGATGCCATTTCGATTTCGGGGCTCCGTGGTCCCAAGTACACACTTCTTTCTTTCCGCGTGTATTCCTAACAGTGTACAATCAAGTAAATTATTAGATTTTTTTTGGCAAAAAATATTATTTTATATTTATTTAAAATATCTGTATATGTTAATCTAATAACTTTAGAAATAATACTGATTGGCTATTGTCAATAGAAAAATGAAAAATTATTTTACTATTTTGTAACAAAGTGCAAGTTTAACATGTGTTTAACATGTGTAGTATAACGAAAGTAAATATGCATTTTAGGTCACACCTCACTGATTTTGTCACCATTTAGATATGTTGTAGGGGAGGTTGTTCTGAGTAATTCTCCACAAAAATCAAGTGGGGAGCGGCATTGGTTTAGGAGATATAACAAATTAAAGTTTTGCAATTTTAATGCTCTTCTGGTGTTATAAACTGATATTATGAACAGTGGAGTTTATATACGCCGTATTTGTATACAAACACGATGTAAAGTTTATGTTTACATTTTTTAAAGGGTGACTACATGGTTATAGATATTTTGTCAACAGTCGGCTTTATCTATTTCTCACAGTTTATTAACAGCTTTCAACATGCGATTACACGAATTTCTAAGTCTTGTTGAGGATAGCAATAAGTTATTAGATTTTCTCGTTGATCGAAAAGTTACTCACAAACACATTAAATGTCTACGGTGTGAAGTATTTGTTGATTTAAATTGTGAATGTATGCCTTTTATGTGTCACGCTATGAAGTATGAACGCGGACACAAAAGACGACGAAAAATGTGGTGTAATTTTACATTGACGGGGGAGGGGCTCCGCTAAAAAATCTAACAAATTTAACAAAAATCTAACCTAACTTAACCCAAACCTAATTTCATAAAATTTTACATACATATTTATTCATATTTACAGAATTTAAATAAACTTTTATAAAATTAAATGTTAGTTTTTACGTTTTACAATTTTAAAGATAGGCCATAAAAAAAACACATGTCGCTGGTTGACATGATTCCAGCATTCCTATTTGCTTGAAGCAAAAAAAAATAAACAAGATTTTTAATTATTATCAATGTGGCTATGGTCCGAACCAGAATAAAAAAAAAATATTGCAAATTGTTAAATTAGCGCAGTTTTAAAAAACAGATATCAATTTTTCACTAAAATTTTAAACTTTGACAGTTATAAAAAAATAGTTAATTTGAAGATATCGTAATAATCCTGGTTCCAACCATAAGCGGACATGTATTTTATATGTACAAAAAAGTTGAAGCCGATCGGTACTTTTTGAGAAATCGTGTCAACCGATTCAAAAAACATAGTTTTGAGAAAAACGCATTTAAAGTTTGAAGTATGATATAATATAAAAAATGAAAGTTTACCTTTAATCGGCGATACCAGAGCCATACAGCAAACTCTCCTCTATCTCAAAATGTTTGTTTTGTTCTGATAATTACAATCTACGAGCATTACGAACTTCCTTTGATGCTTCAGATGCTCGCTGCTCAGATCGATCCGTATTCTTCATCCCATATATCAGCAAACACTCTCGCTTCGGGTCCAATTTTCACTCCCATCAATGTTAACATCTCCAAAAGGTGAAAGCCTTCATCAAGGAAAATACAAGTTGCCAAATATGTTGCAATTTCGATTGTTTTAAACGCTTCTAGAGATTGTCCTTTCAAAACAGGTACTTCTAACGGTCGTTTTAAATCAATACATACACAATACACACTAGAGAACACAAAATAAAGAATACTATACAAAGAAAACTATACTAGAAAATTATTCTGAGAATGGGTATCTATTCGATGCACCTTGTATCTAAGCGCATCGATTTTTCATCAGAACGGCGCAACTTACAAATATTTTTATCTCCGTTATTTTTACGTATTTTGCCAAAACTTCATAGGAACTCATTTTTGAGACCTTAAACATTAAAAAAAAATGAAAAATTCAGGTTTTTTGAAGTTGCACAGTAGAATACTCCCTTAAAATTGTAAAACTTTAATTTGTTATATCTTCTAAACCAATGCCCCCCCCACTTGATTTTTGCGGGGAATCACTCTAAAAACTACAAATCCTCTACAATATATCTAAATGGCGACAAAATTGGTGAGGTATGACTTAAAATGCATATTTACCCTTTTTGTAAAAGAATTTTAGAGATCATTAATTAAAATGTAACCATGTTTCATAGCTCATCGTTCCAGTTTGTTGAACTTTTTTTGATTTTTTAATGGATTTATATTATGAGTTCCCGACAATCGCAAATTCTATACTAAATACAAGTTTGAACGATGAACTGTGAAACACAAATGATAGTATCCACGTGACTGATACATTAACGACTAGCAAATAAAGGTTTGTATGTTTCATATTTCGCGAATCATTCAAAATTAACTAATTCGTTCGAGGGAAGTACAGTCCGAGGATTTTTTGATAGTATTTCATATATGTATATTTAAATTTAAGAGATTAATTAATATTTACGCGGTATTTTTTGCGTAGTAATTAATTACAATAAATAAACACGATTAAATTGAAGTCTTGTATATCATTTCAATAATTTTGATGAACAATTTATAGTCTGAGAAATTTTTTTTTTTTTAGGAAAAAGAAGATGTCCCGGAGAATCATTAGCAAAAACAGCTATATTCTTACTATTTGCTGGAGTAATGCAAAGGTATCGCCTTCTTCCGATACCAGGTAAAGAGACTATTGAGGCAGAGATAGGCACAGGATTAACAATTGCACCAAAGCCTTATGAAATGTTAATCATTCCACGATAAAGTAGATATCACTTATTGTGTAAGTCACATAGTAGGTATCATAAAGTAGTTTACATTACAATTTGTGACAATGTAAGTCTTTTGGAAAAAAAAGAAAAAAGTGTGATTAAAATAAACAAATCTTATGTAGAAGAATTTAAAATCTGTTATTTAATGATGTTTACGTGTTATTCAATATTTTGTAGGTAATGACTTGCGGCGTCTGGCTGTTTTCGTTTCTTGTTTGCATTTTTGTTTATGTTGGTATTTGTAAACATAGGCAGTATAATTCTTATTTATCATTTCTGTTATCTTACTATCATTGTTTATTATCAATCTTTATTAACCTATCTCGATGTCAAGACACACTAATCGAAAATATGTAGACATTTTTATATTTTCAAAGTCCTACAATACATTTCCTTTGCTATTTATTAGCGTTTTTGACTAAACGATCGAACAAGTTTTTATCCATTCCGAATCAATTATTTTATTATTGACTTAAATTGACACTATTTTATTATTGACTTAAATTCATAATGCCTCTGGGCCTCTCCTGCGCTGTCTCTGTGGATTCCAATCAAGGGCTTGCCCACAGATCTCATTTGTGCCCATGTGCAAGATGTGTCCGACCTCATTATCCGGATGCAAGTTTATTTCGAGAATTACCTTTGATAAGAAAAATTATATCATCTATAAAGGCAATCGTCTGCATGCTCTCTTCACAGAAATCATTTTCCATTTGTTTCAAGAAAACGTGAAGGCACCAGTTCCATGCTGTAAGAGAGAACTCTATATTATTTTCTTTCTTTAGTTGAATGAGTCTCTCTCTTTCTAACATTGTATACTGCACGCGCTGCAGTTGCCATGCGTGCGATAGGTCGTTGCTGCGCTACGAGAAAGCGCTAGCGCGTTGCAATCTGATTGGCTCATGCCGATGTAGCGGTTGGGGACATGTGAACATTATATTAGAACATTATATAGATATATAACTATATATTATATAGATATATAACTATATATATATAGGAACATTATATTAGAATAAAGTTATGAGTTTTCTGTGAAATACGGTTCTTAGCTCTGTCATCCCTCCGTCCCTCATTGTGAAGTTCAATCTCCTTCGGATCCTGACAACCACCTCGTGCATACTCAATGAGCTATTTTACAGTTCAGAAGTGGGATAACCGGATGATCTACGATATCGAAGATCTACGTGTGTGGAAAATCGAAGATATTCGTAGTGAAGTGACGGACAGAACTTTCGTATTAGCATCTCAGTCAGTGCGTGTCGCCTTTAGACTCTTTATTTCGTCGTGGCTAGTGCACGCAGCACGTGATCGGTGCATCGCCTTTTTCGACCGTGTTCATTGTAAAATCACACGATCGTGGCTCGCACCGCCATCTTGTGCATCTGGTACATCGCCTTTTTCGACCGTGTCATTGTGAAAATCACGCGATCGTGGCTTGCACCGCCATTTTGTGCATTCGTGAGGGAAGCACTCCCATTGGCTGTGTCTTTGTTGTTATCTGTTACCGCGTGTTTTTGTTTGGTGAAACTTACGGGTAACAGCCTTGAAAAATAAAGAACGAACGATATCAGGAAACGTTTTGGTTCTTCAAAGAAAAAAAAAGAAAAAGACGCTCGCGAGTTGTCGTGTCGTCAAGCGGACATTTTGTGCGTAAAAAGCATTTATTCGTAGATCGCACTGTTGTAACTGCGCTGTCTTCGCTTATAGTGATTGTTCACGTCACGCAATTCCATCAGACTTGCCGGGCGATAATAATTCGTGTCACGTTAAACAGTTTTTCGATCTTTCAGTGCTGTGCATTTGTCTTTGCGTTAATATACGTCTCGCTATTACGGACTTACGATCTCGCAGTGTTCTGCTTACTGTCTTTGCGTTAGTGGTGATTCTCGTCGCGCAATATTTTCAGACTTTTCGTACAGTTACACGTCACGTTTTTATTTGTGATCATGCTTCGACGTCGTCTCGAAGGTTGTACGGTGAAGCAACTCAGAAAAGAAGCACTGTGTTACGGGTTGACACCTCAAAAACATCGTGATACTTTGATCAACCAGTTACAAACGTATCTCGAGAGCATTGGGCCGCTCCGAGATGAGAATTGTGAACCATTTTTGGGTTTCACTCCGTCATCAGCTCGCAGACAAGAATTTCCAGTTCTCGGTTCGGAGCACGAAGAGGACTCCCATTCCCATGTGTCGAATCACGAAGAATTTATCACAGCATCTACTCATCCTCAGATGGACACTAGAAGCAATCCACCTCAATGGTTCACCCAGTTTGCTGATCTCATGCGTCAACAACAAGAAGCGCAAAGCGCACAGCAGACGCAGATGATGACTCAGTTCGCCCAAATGATTACCACGATCAATTCGAGAGGAAACGACAGACGTACAGCTCCTCAGGTAACGCCTAGTCTAGCTCCTCATAATTCTGATTCAAGTTCCAGCGCATCCGGCCGCGAGAGTGGTACAGTGTTAGCCACGCTTCCCACGGCACAAGCGATTACGCTTTTAGCGTCGCAGATTCCATCTTTCTCGGGCTCCGACGAGGATAACGTCGAGTTATGGGTGAAAAAAGTTGAGCGAGTTGCACACATACACGGTGTCGCAGACGAAGT